GCAAATACTCCCTTTCTCGTGAAAACTCGGCTTGAATTGCCATCTCGTTATCTTGGCGTTTCTGCTCCAGTTCAATTCTTATGGCATTTTGCCTTGCAATTTCCTCCAAAAACTTTGAATTACTATTACTTGAATTACCCGCTTTTTTTGCCTTCGCAGCCTTTCGGCCAATGGGCCTCGGCTCCTTTTCAATGGGTGAGTCTTCACTCATAGGGGAATCGAGAGGTGACTCCGATGTCATTGAATTACGGAGTGGCGTCTCATTTAACACAACGGGGGGACCCGTGGGAATAATTATGAAGCGTTTGCAATATTTCACCACATCCCAACATTCATGATGGTTGAAACTTTTTTACCACCCCCGGTTGCACCGAACCACATCTGTGCTTGAATCATCTATTTAACAAAAGCAAATGGAAATGCAAGAAATATTTAAAATATATTGGATATGCAAGTAACCAAAAAACAAACAAATGGAAATGCAATTAACCTTACAAATAAATTGGAAGTGCAAGAAATATTAAGAAACAATTGGAAATGCAAGAAATATTAACAACATATTGAAAATGCAAGAAATATTAACAACATATTGAAAATGCAAGAAATATTAACAAATATTTAAAATGCAAGAAATATGAACAAAATATTTAATTTTAGAAATATGAACAAAATAATTAATTTGCAAGAAATATTAACAAAATATTGAAAGGCCAATAAATATTAACAAAATATATAAATTAGGACATTAAACTTAATGAAACGAAAATTACAAAATACTTACCTCGTTAGTACGATTTTCCCCGCTTCTACAGTTTTCCATCGCTTTTGACAACGCATCTCTCCATTTTCCCAACTCTTTATTTAGAATTTTCCACCTACTAGATAATGCCATTTCCGTACGAGTAGACCCCGGAATTTTTTCACAAAATTCGGCATGAATTTTTTTCCACATATGAAAAAATTTCATCTCATTGCCTGTCACGGGGACAATGACAAACTTGGAGCCAAGCCTCAGACAAGGAAACATCTTCCATGGTGCTCCACGCCCCTCCGGTTTCGATAGAAGAAGCCATAAAAAGAAGAAGAAAAAAAATACAAGGTTAAAGAGAGGAAAATGTTGAATAAAGAGTGAATAATAGTAGAAGTAGAATAAAATGTATAAGGATTGGTGTTGAAAGTGAAGGGTATTAATAGGTATTTATAGAAAAAAAAAATCAGAATTTTTTAGTATTTTTTTAAAAAAATTCCGATTTTTTTTCATAATTTTATTGCCAAAAAATCGCCAGCCATTGGATTGGAGGAGAGAAGCAGATCGGAGCGCCCAGGTTACGACACCTGTCTTCTAGCCGTTGGTGATCGCGCAGGGCTGACGTCAGCACGACGTCAGCGCAAGCGAATTCAATTTTTTTTACCGTTGGCGCGTACATTGCACGCGCCAACGTTAAAAAAAATTGACTGCGCTCGCTGACGTCACCCCAAATCAAGTTTTGGACCTCGGGCTGAACTGGCCTTCGGGCCAGCCCGACTTGCTGGGACCCGCACCTTGCCCGGGCTTGGGCTCACCGCTGGAAACTCCTTTTTTTGCTTTTCTCCCCCCAGCCTTGGGCTAGGCTCATGGCTGCACTTGCTCTTAGCCTTGCCTTAGCCTACATGGGTGGAGGTGCTCTAAAGGATGTTGAGTGTTTTCTTTTCTTTTTAATGGGTTGTTATGTCACTACCTAACGTAATAACCATGGATGAGTTGCAGATAATGGAGGAAAAGGAGGCAGAAAGGCCAAGAGAGAAGGGTGAAAAGTTGAAAAAGAAAATTGATTAACCCTAAAACTCATAAAATGTAAGTGAAACAAATATTAGTAGGTGACTATTTTAAATGACGGGGCATGCATACATCGGTTGCCAACTTGCCACATAATGTGATTAGCTAAATGTGATAACTTTACAGTGTACCTAAATGGCAGCACTTTTCTAATAGGGGTGGAAGCCATCAAAATAATGTGTATGAACTATGTAATTTATAGATGTAATCTCTAGCATTATTAATTAACTCGGATAAAATTGAGTTTTAAAGAAAAACTTATTTATTTCAAACATAAGAGAACTTTTAGTCAAGAAGTAGTTATGAAAATAAGGATAAGACATAAATATGTATGAGTTATGAACTTACATGACTAGCAAGGATGTAGAAAAATAAATTGAGTGTAGCTCGAACCCATTTTCTGGCATGATACATGTTATCCGTACTGAATATGTAGATTAGAGAAACCCTTGCCAGATAATAGATAATAAGGAAGACGCTCACTGTCACTCTTTGGCTGAAATGTCCAGAGCCTCCTGGCTTGAAATAGAAAACTGCTATTGCCAACTGGACAAAAAACAGCAGGTTAGAGACTAGACTCACTGAGCAAATGTAACTTTGTGCGTAAGACAATATTGACCAAAATATATAAACCTTGATTGATTATCATATAATCTTATATATCATATTATCATATATATACATATATATACACACACACACATTGAAGGACTCGTTATAGTAAATCCTATATGATGAAAAAAAATTAGAATATTACATAATTCGATGGAGTTGTCAAGAATATGGTAAAAACATTTCCAAATACAAATGTGCAGGTGAAGGTTATTAGAGCAAAATGTTTTTTTATTTATTTTTATGATAATGATATTCTAAATTACCCCACATTAGAGGAGGAGGTTCGAACTCGAGTACAATATTGCTGGCAAAAAGAAAAGACAACAAAAGTTGAGATTTCGGTCTCTTACCTGTGGAATGGGAAGCATAAGGGAAACGGCAATTAGGATACCCACAAAGCCAATAAAACTACAGTAGTAGGTACGACGAAGTGTTCCATCCCAGTCGTCGATCTCGTTGGTATATATTCTATACCCAGAAATTATAGTACGCAATGCGAAAGTGGCATCAGGAAGTGCTCGAAGAATAAGAGCTGCAGTCCTCAAGTTTTTGTCTATTCCAAGGCACTTATCCTTCTCATCGATGATTGGAATGTAAAAGAAGAGAGGATCTAGTGACACTGCAATACATGATAATATAAATATACTTTTCCTCGTTAATGGAGAGAAGAAGGAGAAGAAGGAGAAGAAGATGCGCCCAAAAATTCCCTTCCATTTAGCAGTTGCATCCCTTTCTTCCTTCCTTGGACTACCTATCTCAATTGAATCCTCGTCTGAATCGTCATCTGGCCAATACTCGCTGAAAATAAGCCTGTCAGAAGGGAAAAGCTTTTATTATGAATTGAGATTCAAATTCAACAAAAAAAAGTTTTCCATTAATGAAATAAAGCATGATGATGCTCCTTGCTCATAACAACTTCTCATTTGCTTAGTAACGTGGCTCCTTTCTTCGGAAGTCGTTACCAAACGTTGGTGGTGGTAGCATAGTTTATTTATGGAGGTTTTTATTTTATTTTAATGGGATATAGTTATTTTTGGATTAAACAAAGAGTTGTAGAGACTTCCAAACATGGAATAAAAATACATCTACAAGTTTCAAAACAGTTTGTGATTGAACCACATTACTAAAATAAATCAGGCACTTTAGGTTGTTTCAATAAATTAAATGAACATAGCAAAACAATAATTAGATAAAAAGAGACTAGCTCAATATAAATCTAATAATAACTTTCGCTTCCTTACTTGCCTTGAAGCTATTTGCAACAGGGAGGTGATACTATATATTATTATATTATGAAGGTTGGGTCAAAGTTGCTGGAAAGTAAAATTAGCAAAGGCTTTATTAATTCTTTTTCACAATTTTTTAATTTTTTATGAAGATGTTAACAATGGGATCCATATGCTAATAAATTGAAGCTATTGAATTATACCATTGAAAGTAAAACTACAGTTCAATTCAATAGATACAAAAATAGTTCAATAATTGAACAACCATTGTGGATGCTCTTAGATCGATGTTTTTTTTTTGGGTTTTTCTTGGGATGTTTACTGATCAAGAAGAAAGAAAGGGAGTACATTTGCAACCAAATGAAACAAAAGGCAAAGAAAGAGGTGAGGATATTACAGAAACTTAGGGCTCGTTTGGTATCCTATTTAAAAAAAAAAGAACTAAAAAATCATGATTATTTTTTTTAACATGATTTTTTAAATATTTATTTTAAGATCTTAAAACTTGTTTGGTAATGAACTCCAAACTATTTTTAAGATCTAAAAAAATTTGAAATTAAAATTAGAAAATCAGAAATCGTATATCCCCAAATTGAAATTAACAAAAGAAAAGAGGGAGAGAGAGAGAGAACTGTAAAACCTTACTTTTTGTGAGAAAAACGATAATTGTATTCATAAGTTAGGCACAAAGACCATCAGCTACAAGGGCACACACAAATGCCCACATATGGTTAAAACAAAAAAACCACATAAGACAGAAATTTTGGCATAAAAGCCACATGCCTGAACAAACCAAACATCAATCACAGCACCCAAATCTACCAATACAACTACAACTTTTAACTCACAAGTACAAAACCTCACTTTATTGAGCCACAAATCTCACTTTTTTGTTTTTAAAATTGGGTCTTTTTAAGTTGTTAGGCTCACCACATTGTGTACCATCTCTTTAATAGAGGTGGAGCCCATCAATACAATGGGACCCAACTCTATTAGAGATGGGGTACACGATGTGGTATAAAAATATCATAAACCTAGCAATTTTCTATTCATTCGAAGTTATAATCAAACTAAACTATAAAAGAGAGTTTCCATAACATCAATCAACAGGGACTCAGTTTATCCCTTCATCTTCTTGTATTTACTGACTTCAAACCTAGGCATAAATTACTGAAGAAAATAAAAACAATATTAATGAATGAAAACGAAATAAACCTAAATTATAAGAAGAGACTTTGCAAGCTAAGCTACTAACTCGAAATAAATCTAATAGTTGCTAGCTACACTTTTTGGATCTTCATCTGAAAAGCCTCAAAAAATTGAAGGTATGCTAACCTGAAGATACGGACCACATAGGCCCAAACGCTCTTAATTCGCTCAAGGATAGTAGGCCTGAAATATAAACAACTGCAAGTCATTACATTTTTATTTTTGAAGAGTAAGGGTGGTTTTCATTTGAATGTAATGTAACTAGTGGAGGATCAATGTGATCTCATTTGAATCTAATGTAACTAGTGGGGATTTCATTTTCAAAGAACCCATTCCGCGAATCAAATGGGCATAATGCTACAACCTTAGATGGTGCATTTTCTTGAATAAACAAATGATTACTTACCTTCTAGGAGAGATGCTACTGATCATCAAGTGCCGTGGCATTTTGGCTTCCCTACTTGCCTTGAAGCTATTTGCAGAGAACCAATGAGTCTGTAAAGCTAATTATGTACAAAGAGCAGAATAATGTGGGTGAAACTTGCAATGCAAGTATAAGCCTTGCGTTTCATGTTTGGAACTCTCCTCTCTTTATATGTACGAGAAATTATTGCATGTACCCCAAAAATCAAATTAACAATCCCCAACCAAAAGAAAAGAATAAACTTTTGTTTCCGAAAGAGGAATACAAACCGGGCGAGAGAAAGAGAAGGGCAGTCCTAGCTAAGAAGGGAAGGGAGTACATATGCATCCATAAGAACAAAAGAACAAAAGATGATATGTTCGGTACACGAATAAATCTTGAGCCTTGAGGTTGCAAGAGTTGCCCGTCCAAGCACAAGGCTTTTACTTTAAACTTATGTGAACTTTGGGGAAAGAGAGCAAGAGAATCCTCAAGGTATGGAGAAATTCATCTTTCTTACCCGATAAGCCTTGTTGTGATGAGAGATAGAATACAAAGGGTAGGAACACATGTTACACGAAAGTAGCATTCGACAACATGAGCCAAAGCAAAAGTTGTTTGAAATTCTTAACCCCACGTCTGGCGTAACGTAAATAGTGTTTCCGAAAGAGGAAAACAAACCGGGCGAGAGAAAGAGAAGGGCAGTCCTAGCTAAGAAGGGAAGGGAGTACATATGCATCCATAAGAACAAAAGAACGAAAGATGATATGTTGGGTACACGAATAAATCTTGAGCCTTGAGGTTGCAAGAGTTGCCCGTACAAGCACAAGGCTTTTACTTTAAACTTATGTGAACTTTGGGGAAAGAGAGCAAGAGAATCCTCAAGGTATGGAGAAATTCATCTTTCTTACCTGATAAGCCTTGTTGTGATGAGAGATAGAATACAAAGGGTAGGAACACATGTTACACGAAAGTAGCATATCATAGGGTACCTTTTTGGTGGCTTCCTCAATCATTCGACAACATGAGCCAAAGCAAAAGTTGTTTGAAATTCTTAACCCCACGTCTGGCGTAACGTAAATAACTAGGCAGCATGTGAGCTCATATAAATACAATAATTAAACAGCTAAATATTACAACTAAAGATTTATACAAACTCAAACTAGTGTATGGAATTAAGCTGGATAAACTGGAGGCAGCTAGCACCATGCTTTGATAATCTCTGACAAATTATGAGTGAACTAAGCGTCTAATAATGAAAGAAATTAATTACCAAAGTTTTAGGCCATGTTTGTTTGACAGGAATGTTAAAAGGGATACATGAATTGTAGTCCTTATATTTTGGAATAGAATGATCTTTTACTTTCCATTTTATTAATTCAGGAATTCAAACAAGAGCTTGCATTTCCATTTGATTCTTTACTTGTTTTGAGAGTAAATTATAATTAAATAAAAAGGGGAGGGCGCCCGGGGGTGGTGCATGTGTTAGGAAAACCCGATGATGTATTTGGCGCTACACATGATTAAGGGGTTGGATAATTTAAAATATAAAAAGAAGCTGCCAGGAAAATATGCATTTTCCAATATTAATACAATTAAGCAGCCCTTGAAATTTCAATATCCTTCCAATTTTCTCTTTATTGACCTTAGATATGGTGTCCCACGCTCGAGGGGAAGACTTGTCTCCTCCAATTTTTTATTTTTGTTCCTTTAAACAAACTTGGGTGGAGATAGGAAGTCAAGAAAAAGAGTTGTTTAGTGACGACGACCAAACCAAAAGCTTTTCTACATGGCAAGAATTGTAAAAAAATGTTTTAAAACGTCTCAATTACTAGGGGGCTTTCAGTAATTGCGGTCCTGCATCTTTGATTTTGGCACCTCTGTGGGCTTGTTTGTTTATTGAGGTTGCTTATCTTTCTTTCCTTTGGGCCTTCTATAATACCGGGCCTTTGCTTTGTTTTTCTCAGTTCCACACAGAATTCATTTCCGAAAAAAGGAAATAGAAAATGAAAATGTCAAAATGAGGACAATAGAAATATTAATCCATCATCAAGTTCCAACGGCTAAGGATTGTCACAACTTCAAGTTTTTATTTTATTTTTCATTTTTTTGGTATACAAACGATATTGGAGGAAGAGAGATTCGAAGACAAAGTATAAGCTCTACGGTTGACTTTATTTAATCACTTTCCACAACTTCAAGTTTGTAATTACTCTGGAAGATGCGTTATGAACTTATTCTTCAAAATTGGTAAATGCAATTATGCAATACCATCTTCTCTATTCGTAAACAAAATTGTACTAAAGTAAAGGGAAGTAGGCGAAGCCCTTACACTGGAGAGCCAACATTTATAGATCATCTTGTTTATGATCTCTTTAATAGATATGGAACTCACTAATGCAATGAGTTCACCTCTAAGTGGTCTATAAATGTAGACAACAGTTTTATATGAGAAATCTTAAGCAAGGGTGCAACAGTTTTATATGTGATTCAATACGGTATTATTAGTGTTTTCGCTACAAAATTGGAGAGGGGTGTACAAAAGGTGCATTATATTAGACACGAGATCGGATTTAGATATAGAAATCTTAAGCAATTGTACTTTTGCGGTTATACCTTCTTGAGAGATTCACTAATATACCCAATATAGGAGCCCAAATTATAAAAATACCCCATATGAAATGAACTTTAGAAACACACCCAAAATTCATTTATAACATAACAAAAAGGCTTTTAACTTCTTTTAAATTACAAAACTGCCATTGATTTCTCAAAACAAACCCAACCCTAAAACATATAAACAAGCCCAAAATACTCAATAGGATATTAAAGTAATTTAATAATCAAAATTAAATTCAATATGGCCAATTGTCATTTTTTGGGTTTTTTTTTGGGGTTTGTTTATAGAAATTAAATGGTGTAGGGTTTATTTATAGTTTTAGTGCTAAGAATGGGTATTTAACTAAATATCTCTATTTTCTTTGGTTATAATGACGATGAGACGTATGCATGATTTTGCTTAACCTTGTAAATACCTAGTGTGCTTTCTTCACACTTTTTTTGTTTATTCCATGGAGTGTATTAATTTGTTATAACAAGTTGGACTAATGTCCTACCTCAGTTGCTACACAAATGGGGAGTCCTTAAACTTCAATAAAATGTATACGTCAACTCTTTTTCTCTTTTGAGGAAATGTAATTTTCACATCCAACTAGAAGAAACAGAAGACAAGACATATTGGTGACCACACATGCGATTACTTTATCAAATACGCACAACATAAACAACTGAGTTTTAAGGAAATATGAGCGCCAAATGTTGTTTCAAGTTTCAACTGCTAAGAAGTATTGCCTAAACTTCACCACGCATCTTTAATTTGCCAGTCTTTACCAAGGTTTTCAAGTCATCAACTGTGAGAGCAAAGGCTTCTACTTTCGTGGAGCATCGGACAGTTTTGTCCGAAGGAGGTTGGTCATCAAAAGTTTTGGTTTTCACTGCCCAATCCAGAAGTTGTTCTCCAAAAAACATACCTTTCTCAAAAGTTTTGGTTCTTGCTGCCTCTCTTGGAGCATCCCTAATTGGTACGTACGCTTGCATAGTGCCTGATATAATAAAGAGCATCGAGTGAAGAGGCTGTCCCGCTTCAACCACCGTGTCATTCTCCTGGAAGATCTTTGGCTGCAGATCCTCGGAGATCGTTTCCAACTCTTCCTTTCCCATAGTTTGAAGTTCC